GGGGGGGGCCGGGTGCAGGAAGCAGACGTGTTTGCCCTGACACCAGCAGCGTCTGGTTGTGGCGAAAGGAGCAGCGCCGGGGCTGCGTGGTAGCAGGGACGGTCCCTGGGGGTTTGGGAGCCGGGCGGGGGAGGGATGTGTGGGGGAGTGTCTCCCAAGGGAGGGATGCTGTGGGGCTGAGCCCTGCCACGCTGCCCATGCCACCGCTGCTGTCCTCATGATGTGATGTAGTGGCTGTACAGGGTGAAGCGACGCGCAGAAGGGTTTTTGCTCCCTGCAGGGGAGATGTTGCCCCTTGGGAGCTTTTGAAGGAGAAGCAGAGGGATCTCTGAATCCCTGGGAATCAGAGAGGAGGGGGGGAGTGTGAGCAAGGAAGCGCCCTGCAGTTGGGGGGATGGCTTGCAGGGGATGAGGCAACAGGGCCAGGCTAGTGGAGAAACTCTCGGAGAGATGCTCCAAGAGGGGTCTGGGATGCTGAAAGTGCAGGGGGGGGTTGTTTCCCCAGCCCGGCTCTCAGGGGGGTGACGGCGGAGGTGAGTGGAGCTGGTGTAGGGGGGACCAGCGCTGTCTGGGGCTCCCCTGCAGCGTGGGAGAGCAGGAAGGTGCCATTTATGGCCCAGACAGAGCAGACCACAGCAGAGAAGGGACAAATGAGTCACAGACCCGCAGCATGGCGGGCAAGCTTCTGTCTCCACCACGAAGAAGGTGGCTCCTGCCTGAGGGGTTTCTGAAGGAAGCCGTGGCCAGGGGCTCGGCAGGGTGCCTATTATCCCTCATCGCAGCCAAGGAGAGCTTGGGCTCAGGTTACCGGCACAGGGAGACAGCGACAGGTTTGGCAGCGTCCCGGGGGTTCTCCTGCCAAGCGCTGCACGGAAGCAGAAGCGATGCTGGATGATGCTCGGGGGGGCAGTTAGTGGTTCACCAGCAGCTTCCCACAGTCTGGCAAGGTGCCTGGGATCATTGGTCCTTGCTCTTCCCTCCCTGCTTTCTGCCCATGGTGGCCACGTTGCTCCCCAGCCAGCATGGGCACTGGGTGTTGGGGTGCTGGTGGGGTCGCCGCAGGGGGCCGCATGCCCTCCGTGCCCCATGGCGAGGTGACAGGGGCATCCCTCCGTCCCGCAGGTACGATGCCGGAAAGGACGGCTTCATTGACCTGATGGAGCTGAAGCTGATGATGGAGAAGCTGGGGGCACCACAGACCCACTTGGGCCTGAAGAACATGATCAAGGAGGTGGACGAAGACCTGGACAGCAAACTCAGCTTTCGGGAGGTGAGGGGTTGGGAGGGACCTCTGTGGTGGCAGGGGAAGGATGGTCCCCCTGTGGCCAGTGCCAGGGTGGGGTGGTGGGGAGGGAGTTGTGTGGTGGCTCAGAGGTCTCAGAGGAGCTGACGCCAATGTGTCCCCTTGTAGTTCCTGCTGATTTTCCGCAAGGCGGCGGCAGGGGAGCTGCAGGAGGACAGCGGACTGCACGCCCTGGCCCGGCTCTCCGAGATCGACGTCTCCACGGAGGGGGTGAAAGGTGCCAAGAGCTTCTTCGAGGCCAAGGTGAGGCCAGTGGTGGGGCAGGAGAGGTCCCGGCGCAGGGTGGTGGTGTTGGAGGGTGGTTTGGTACCGGCTCACTGCGGTGGGCAGGAGGTGGAGACAGCTCGGTGGGGTTCTGGCGGCGACCCAGCCCGATGTGCCACTGTCCGCAGGCGCAAGCCATCAATGAGGCCAGCCGCTTTGAGGAGGAGATCAAGGCGGAGCAGGAGGAGAAGAAGAAGCAGGCGGAGGAGCTGAAGCAGAGGAAGGCGGCCTTCAAGGAGCTGCAGTCCACCTTCAAGCAGTGATGGGGCCAGGGCCAGGCAGGACTGGTCTGCGATGCCCAGGAGTGTTCTGTGTGGGATGTGCCGATGGTGCCGGGAGCAATGCCTGAGCCGTGTGCTGACTGTGACCCTCCCCCCCCTGGTCTGGGCTACCAGCGGGCTCCTGGCCTGGGCTGGGTGCAGCGGCAGAGCCCAGTGGTCCCCAGCTTCCCCTCCCCTTGCTGTGGTGTCTGTAGGTGTTGTTTGTGTCCCCCCCCAAGCCCCCAGCGTCCTCTTCCCCCCCCCCGAGGGGCAGCAGCACCCTGTCTCCTGCCCGTAGCGGTGCCGGGGGGTTCACTGCTGCTGAATCCCGGGGGTTCTGTGCTGGGGACGCTGCCTGTCCCCGGGATGTCACGGTGAGAGTTGCAGGAGCCACGGTGGCCGGTGTGGCAGCTATGGTGGCTCGGTGGCCATGGGCATGGCCGAGGGGTGCCAGATATCCCAGTCCCCTCCCTCCCTGATGCGCCGTGGTGGTGAAAGATGGGGGGGAGCGTGGCAAGACCCCCTCCATGGTGCCACGCGTGCCTGTGTGTGTGACAGCAGGTGGCATGCTTGGGGCTGGGGGGGACAGCCAGCGGTTGCCCGTGCCTGTCTGTATTTTGGGTAAAGGTGTACAAAAAGGGCAGCCACTGGCTTGCAAAACTGTATTTTTTATTTTTTCCTGTCATATTTAGCCTCAGAGGGTGAGTGTTGTGGCCACGAGCAGTTCCCGATGGTGGGTGGAGGCTCCCGTATCTGTGGGTGCTGTAACGAGGCACGTCTGTCCCGTGATGTCCCCCGAGTGGTGGTGCGGGGGGTGTGTATGTGTATCGTTTTTTTATTTTAATCCCAAATAAATATTATATTTCGTAAGAATGCTGGGTTGCCTGTGGAGGGGCTGAGGTCCAGTGATAGTGTGGGGGCTCAGGTCGGGGCGGGGAAGGAGCCTTGCAGGAATCAGGGGCTGGCTGTGGGCACCCAGTTGCCGCTGCTGGAGGTGCCCCCCCCCCCCCCCCCCCCCCCCCAC